GTTGAGAAACACCGTTCTAAGACCTCAAAGAACTTAGAGTTCTTGACCAGGTAAAAATTGGTACAATCTGTTTATTTATTCATATATATTCTTCATTAGATGAATGAACTTTTTCCACCAGAAACTCAAGGCAGCACATGGAGATCCCCTAGCTTTTCCCCAAAATGACAATCCTGCAAGGTAGGCTGAGCTGGGAAAGGGTGACTAGCCCAAAGCCACCCAGTGAGTTTTCAAGGTGGAGACTGGAGGTGTCCTCAGCCCTTGTTCAACACTTAACCAAGTTTCCACAATTTAGCATGGACTTAACCTGAGTGTCCCTGGTCCTAAGCCACTTAAGCATTGCACCACACCAGTTATCCCACAAAATAGTGGCCTTACCCTACCACAAATCAAATCTATCATTCAACCAGCCAGCTACTTGCCAAACCATGGTCTTCTTAACCCGGGAGTGCTGAATAAACCCCTGTTGGCTGGGTTCACACAATACTCTAAACCATTACACATTGGCTGGAGTCAAAAACATGCAAAAACCCAGTTACAGCCACCCAAATAAGCCATATTACAGTTTAGTACAATGATCATCTCACAAGGCACCTCATAAAGTTGATTTTTTAAAAAAAAAATGCTAGAGAGACATTTTTGTTTAACGTGATTGCAACCCTGCACCTAGAACCCAACATCCGCTAATTCCGCAATTCCACTGTCCGAACAGAAGACTCTTGGAGAGAGATGCCTAAAACACTTGGTCGCTAAGTCACTATTTGCCTTTCAAAGGAAAATGTAAAGTTTTTAGCTCTACAGCTCAACCGGAAAGTTGTGGAGCTCTGTCACCGATGCCACCTCAGTTGCCCATACAGTATAGTTACAATCCCAGAAACCAGGGCACAGCCCCAAATGCAATTGCTAAGATCCTCTCTCCCTCAGCAATCAAGATAAAGAAGGATGGAGCGATACAGACCAGTAGTTCAACTTGATCAACACAAGCTGACGTGCCATATACGGAGACTTTCAGTAAAATCATCATAACCCCAACGACATTACTATTCACACGCCCAGAGAGCATTGACAGAAGTGCCTTTAGGACCTGGCACGATTCTCCAGCACCGAACAGAACGGAGGAGGGAAGAGAGAAAGAGAAGATTGAATGACAATAAATTGTTTGCCATTCCGGATGGGAAGGATCCAATCCAACCAGCAGGAGAGACTGAAATAGATACTGCAGTGAAGGGAAAGAGGGGAGGGGGGAGAGGCGAGTGTTGGCAACTGCAGCAGCTGAGCATAGAAAGCAGGAGAGAACCAGCCGCTGAAAAGGAGGAAAACCAGCGCCCGCCCGGCAGACAGGGCAGAAAGAGGGCTTTGCCTGCCCTCTCGAGACAGTGCCTGGCACACACCAGTGGTGTTGGCAATCCCAACAGCAGACAGATGGGGCAAACTGAAGTGCCAGTCCGGGTCATCCCTCCCCAACTGGCCCAAAGCCACAGACTGTATCTTAGAGTCCAGAAGTGTAACTTCTCAATCTCTTCATGAGGAAAGTGATTCCGAGCATGTGCTGAGTGCATTCAGCCTCGCTGCCTGCGGAACACAGCCTATTGCCCATTTCAGAGGTTACACAGAGCGGGCTCCTACTGAACCCGAGTGACAGGCTCCAAGCAAGTCCTTACTGAGCTCCCATGAACGCACACACCCATCTTGTAAACTACCCCACGTTGCATACTTTGGGTTGGCTAATAGGGCTGAATTTATAAATTCAGCTGCCAAACCCTGCGTTAGACACTTCCACGTTTCTGCAGATCCATCACCCCACTCAGCACAAGCAATCATTCTCCCGTGGCAGCGGCAGGACATCTTAGGAGAATAATCATCCTGGTCATTGTCTCCCC